AGCATTTCGGGGTGGCACCCATTAATCGGCTTAGGAAGCCAGCCAGTGCTGGTTGCTGGCTGCAAATAAACAAGCATACTTTTCAGCGCAAGCAGGCTGTCAGCTCCTTCGATTGCCATCCCATGATGCTGCTGGCCAGTGGCCACACAAAATTAGAAATGCTCAATGAAGCAAAAAACAAGCAGTCTTTGAGTAGAGTAGTAGATGGGAATGTTTTTTGCAGATTTCTGTTTGTATTTCAAGTCGGGCGTAAAAACTCTTTTGAGTGCTGCAATCCGATTCGCATTCGATTGCAGGGAACTGCATGCAAATACAAAGGAGAGGCCTATGATTCTCTTACCTCCTTGTGTGCTGTGTAGGGGTAAATAATCTATTTTAATTGAAAACACAAGCAAGCCACACAGTTACTACCTTGAGCCACTTTTTTCGATATGTCTATAGATCTCTATCTCAACCACTAAGAAAAAAGGCAAAAGGAGAAAAGGCAAGTTAAGCAAAACGTCGCATTGCCTCTGACATAGGAAAACAAAAATAAAACGGAAGGGATTTTAAATTTACTATTTCGGCCGCTTTCAATTTGCATTTTTACCGCATTTGGAATTCACATTTTGCGGCCCTTGGCATGCCACCTTTGGACCATGGCCACAAACCATCAGCATCGCCCATCAGCATCGCCCGCTAAGCGAAAACTCTTATCAACACGGCCAAATCACACGCATTCGTCGAAAATCATTTTGTACGAAAATTTATGCGGTCTGTGCGCTATTTCTTGTTTTTTTTTTTTTGCATTTATTTTTTGTTAGGCATTGGCGTGTGGCCCAAAACACGTACAGTTGTCAAGGCAAACAGAGAGAGCGGGGGCGAAGTGGGTGAGTGAGTGAGTGAGATCTGAACAAAATGCCACGCCATGAAAGGTAGATGTACCTAAATCATGTCCTGACAAGGACGTGAAATGAAATAATTTAAAAAATGCAAATTATTGCTATCAGCCCGTTGAAATCTTGCTGAAATAATCAGCTTAAAGTACGGGGGCGAACAGTTTGCGGCTTTTCCTCCAAATTCCGCTTAACACGAATGACATCTAAGTATTGTTTTGCGAAAAATTCATTAAAATTACAATGCAATGTGCTTCCCATTTGTTTTAAATGCGGACTGAAAGCTTCTTGTGTACAATTTCCTTCATTGTACAAGTTGTGACCAACAAAATAGCAGTTATTTTCCCAAAAAAAAAAAAAAAAAAAAAAAATTGATGGAACACTTTGGAATCAATGGTGCTTAAGGAACTAATATTTCTAAATAATTAAATTTTAGAACTACAAATAAGTCTATTCATCAATGGGTGCCTAAAGAACTAACATTTCTTATTTGAAGATTAGAACTACAAAAAGGTGTATTAAGTAAAAGGTCTCTAGTTGTTGTTGTTTTGAAAAATGTTTGCCATTCATGTTGTGAAACTTTATTTAACAATAATTGTGAGTAATCTTTTTCTTCTTTTAAATAAAAGTAAAGTAAATAAAATAATCTACCTAATATGTGTATAAAAGATTCTATAAAGACTTATCAATATGATTGAAAAATATTTATTTTATTTAACAATTAATATAAACAAGCATTTCTTAAATGCATTGATGGGCTTGTGTTTCCAAATACTTATGAGTTCCATATTCAAATTTAATTTCCAACAAGTTATTCTAGTTAAACAAAAACTAAAAATCAAAAGAATTTGTTGGCCTGAAAACCAAAATATTCATATCTACATGAACACAAGTGCAAATAGTTAAATAGACTGAGTTATTCATTATTCATTATAATTATTATATGTAGCTGGAACCTATTAAGCTATAAATTAGTCAGAAATTAAAGTTTAGCTATATAGTATTATTATTTAATTCAAGATCAGTATAATCAGTGTAAAGCAGAATGAATAATTATTTTACATGTTATTCCTATCACCGTTCATTTGTAGGATTCCCAATTAAGTTCCAACTCACAGATCGTGTAAGTTCGACTCTCCGATAAGTTTAAGTTTGAAGCACTTCTCTGCGTATTGAAGCATAATGTTTGACTGTTAATAGAAATGGTATATCCCTAAATTGATTCATTTAAGAAGTGCAAGAGTTATTCGTTTGAAACATATTTAACTTTATATTTGTTGAGTGTGCTTAAGCAACGAAAATATGAACTTGAGGAGCGATATTTGTAGCCAGACTGATTTGAAAAAAGCGCACAGATTTGCTTGGCCAACATCAACTTCAACAATAAGTATAAGTATATAGTATATGGCAACAACACACGCGTGCTCGTAAGTATAATCCACATTTGTCACACGTCTTGGATTACAGCTGCAACTTGGTCCTTGTTATAAACACATTTGTGTGCCACCATCAGCGTCCAAATCCGGCGAGAACAAGTCTCATAAAAAGGTTCATGGAACTTGCTCCGCATTTTTGACATTGGCGCCAGCCTCAATTTGTTGAGCGCTGACGAAACTTTTCACTTGAATGACTTCGACGTCTGAGTTCACGCCTTCATCATTTTTTGCGCCTCCTGTCTGCTAATGCAGCCTGACCCCAAATATCCTTTCGATGCTATATGGCGGCGGAAACTTTGTCGAGCAAAATTGAAATGTGTGGGAAGCTAATCACTAGGAAAACTGTTGCTAGAGAGTGTATTTTTTTTTTTTCGTTCGCCCTTTTCCTTTCACTCCTTCTGGCCGTTGGCGAGCCATAAAGTTGAGTTGAAAAGAAATCGTTTTTAAATCTTTTGCTCGAAGTGATTAGTCTGTAATCTTTTTATATACTTTGCCGAATGCTTATGGCCATAGAAATTGTATTCTGGCAGTTATTTGCTTGGTTGTCCATTAATTGCAGCTCGCATGACCATTTCTTTGGCCCGATAATACGCACAAATGGAAATTTTTGAATTTTAATTATTTAAATTCAGCGCATTAGTGAAATGCAAACGAAATCCAATTTCGCTGTGTGCTGGCAATGCATTTAATGAAAATAAATATTTATATTGCTCTATTATTTATTTGCAAAATGCGAATTGATGCGCTCTAAAGAGCCAAAAGCCAGAGTGCCAGCATTTAAGATGCATAAAACTAATTGGGATTATGCTTTGGCACTTTCATTTGTCAATTACTGCCGGAGAAAATAAAAATAAACAAACAAACTTTAAGCGAATTTAAGCCTTTATGCAAATTCTTGTCGTAAAGGCTTCCCATTTGTAAATAAATGTGCGCTTAAAGATTATGAAGTCAAAACACCATTTCGCTGAAGGTACACCGAAACAGAAAAGGAAAACCAAAAATTCGTGTTAAAAATTCTGAATTTCATGCGGCGCCCCAAACCGAAAGTCCTGGGAAGCCACACTGACATTAAACGGCAAATTTTTTTATTCGTTTAATTAGCATAAAAGCGTAATTGAAAATTAACTGAAACAAAATGTTTGAATGACAGGGAAAGCAGACGTGAGATTCCAAACTGGGAGCCCCACAGCGGATGCGAGTGCCAACTCACAGAGTCCTTGGCGTGTGTGTGTGTGTGTGTGTGTGTGTGAGTGTTTGAGTGTGTGTGTGTACTCAGACATACACACATTCGCACAAACAAACACTCATTTATTCGCATAACGAAATTAATTAGTGAGCCTTGTGTAAGAGGATAAAACAATTTTGGCGCTTCTTTGCAGACGGATCTCGTTACTTCATGGCATTCGTTGTGGGCTTAAAAACTGTGAGCCAGCTTCAACTGCCAAAATTTAATAAAGTTCGATTTTTATTTGCTTAGGATGCCAAATAAATTGATCTGATTTTTCTTTTAACCCTAATTGCTAGTCCTTAATATTGAATGCTTGATTTCTTGATTTGTTTCGTTTGCGATTCATTTTCTGACCAAAAAGAAATTGTGCAACAAATTGTAAATCAAAATAATTCATTTTGTATGTAATATTGATTAGCTTAATAAACTTTTTGAGAGCCAGTTTTATATCTTCCAAAGCATTGCTTTGGAAAAAAACAACTTTTTAAAACTGTTGTCTTCATTTATGTTGATAAATGAGCCAATGCTGGGCTTGAAAAGTGGTTATTAACTTTATTTTTTGTTACAACAGAAACGTTCTGTAATTAATAAAATATATAAAATATATGTATATGTAAGTAGTAAATACTCGCATATTGTCAACCAGGCTTCTATAGCAACGAGGTAGTATCCCTAGACAGGCAGCAGGGAGAATAGTGAGACGATAGTCATCCAGTACCAGCAGAAATTAGGTCAATCGTTTAAACGCCATCTAACCCAAATACCTTTTATTAATTTATGCAATTGTGTTGGAAGCGTTAAAACCTAAACTTTGCTATTCATAAGCATTTTTTATAGTATACTTGTACTTGTATGTTCATTTGCTAATGCTTACCAAGAACTCTTGGCGCCAAAACATATCCCGCCCTCATTTCGCTAACAACGATTTTTCTGGGTTATACTTTAATGTTAAGAAAAATCATTAAAATGCTGATGAAGTGCAAACATCCAAGTGCATTTTATTTTTTACCCGTATTTGCTAAAATGTTATGTAATTTGTACTTTGTCTTTGTGTTTTGTTTTTCCCATTTATAATTAATAGAATGTTCATGGAACATGACAAAAATAAAAATAAAGCCAAATAGCGGTGGCTTAAAGTTTCTGTAAATGGCTGCCCTGCTCAGCAACTTGCTGCGATGTAATCGGCTTTTTAATAATGTCTCCTCTTTCGGTATTTTGTTTGCCCACAGACCTTGTCACCTGCAGCGCGGATCCGGCCGCACAACTAACGACGTCCACGGCATCCACTTTACTAGATAGGCCAATGACAACAGAAAACGATCTAATTACGGCAGCCAGCAACGCAACGACGCTGCTGACAGCAAAAAGGCCAACAGCAGCACAAGCAGCAACAGCAACAACAACAGCAACAGCATCAGCAACAACAACAACAACGACAGTAGCCACGACTGTGGCAGCATCTGTGGCAAAAACAACACGCTTTTGGAGCACAGACACGTCATCAGCAGAGGCAACTAAGTCAACCCAAATTGAGCTAACTATGAGGCCCACAGCAGCCGTGGTTGCCGCAGCAGAATCGGCCGAAGCAGCAGCAGCAATGACAGTGGCCACAACAGCAACAGCAATAGCAACAACAACAGCAACAGCGGCAAGTGCGACAGCAACAACTACAAATGCGACAAGAGCGCCAGAGACAGTGTTCATATCAACAATTGCGCCAACATCAAGAGCAGTAGAGCCGACGGCACTCGAACTGTTGGCGGCTGTGGGTGCAATGTCGTCGGGTTCGACTGCGTCGGAACCGGATGCGAACAACTCCAATGAAACGGCAATGCCGCTGGCGTCCAGCGAGGAAAATGCCTGGCTGCTGCCCCCGCCTCCGCATCCGGCCAACGCAGATGCATTGACGAAGGGCTTTTCCATACCCACATTTCTGCCGCCATTTCCCGTGTTCGCGGCAGCGGATCTGCCAGCTTACCGAGCCGCAGCAGCAGCAGCCGAGGCCGCAGCAGCAGAGGCAGCAGCAGCAGCGGAGGCAGCAGCAGCGAAGGCAGCAGCTGCAGCCACCTCGGACATGGCCACATTGTCGCCTGAGCAGCAGCGGCAACAAATGTTTAATGAGCAACATTTGTACTTGGCCGCCTACAATGGCGGAGAGACGGGCGAGGGACAGGTGCCCCGCAGGAATCTCACAATGCCGGTGCTAAACATTACGGCGCAGATGGGAAATCACGCGTACATGCCATGCCAGGTGAGCAGCCGCCTCCTCAGAGCGAGAAATAAGAATAATGAGTTCCCTGCGCTAGCCAGCAGGTTCTCTTCTTTGTGACGAGTTAACACATTAAAGGGGTGCAGAATTCCAGTTAGCATTGAATTTGCCTAACAACTCTATAGCTGTTTTCCACTAACTACTTGCATAGAAATAAAACACTATTTTGGGAAGGTATCACACGATTTATAATCTTATCAGAATTCATTTTAAAAAGTGTTCTTTTGATACAAATAAATTTGAAGCGCCACTTTAAAAATACTAAACTGAGCTCAGTCTTCCAGCTCAGCATCATTGATTTTTTGTTGAACATTTTTGCCTGATTATCCCTGGCTTTATAGAAATATTTTAGTTAGAAAGAGTAAGCATTGTTGGCAGCTTTATATATACATATTTGGATTTTTTTTAATTTTTTTTGAAGCAGAAATAGTATGATATATAAATATTTTACTAGTCTTAGTCCTCCTTACTCCGCAATTCTTTTTATTGCATTTTACTGCTCTGAATCCAGTTCATTGATCAAAACTTTGTTAAACTGTATTAGCTTTACTTTGAAATATGAAACTTATTATGTTCTTTTGATAAAAATAAATTTGAAGCGCCACTTTAAAAATACTAAACTGAGCTCAGTCTTCCAGCTCAGCATCATTGATTTTTTGTTGAACATTTTTGCCTGATTATCCCTGGCTTTATAGAAATATTTTTGATAGAAAGATTAAGCATTGTTGGCAGCTTTATATAAACATATTTGGATTTTTTTTTTTTTTTTTGAAGCAGAAATAGTATGATATATAAATATTTTACTAGTCTTAGTCCTCCTTACTCCGCAATTCTTTTTATTGCATTTTACTGCTCTGAATCCAGTTCATTGATCAAAACTTTGTTAAACTGTATTAGCTTTACTTTGAAATATGAAACTTATTATGTTCTTTTGATAAAAATAAATTTGAAGCGCCACTTTAAAAATACTAAACTGAGCTCAGTCTTCCAGCTCAGCAACATTGATTTTTTGTTGAACATTTTTGCCTGATTATCCCTGGCTTTATACAAATATTTTAGTTAGAAAGAGTAAGCATTGTTGGCAGCTTTATATATATTTGATTTGTTCCTTTTTTTTAAGCGGAAATACTAATATGATATATGAATATTTCACTAGTCTTAAGCCTCCCCGCAATTCCTTTAATGCATTCCATTACTTGGAAGCCATTTCATTGACATATTATAGAAATGGTTTTTTTCTTTTAACTGCATTAGCTATACTTTGAAATATAAAACCTATTAATAATAATAATTTTCTTATGTTTCCAAGCAATTAATTAATATCGAAGCATACCAGAAGCATATTCTTTGACTTGAAACTTACTGACATTTATAATTTGGCCAAACCTCAAAACACAAAGAAAAATAAAGCACCTTTTTTTGAAAATCTTTGCCTACTACTTCGTGTGCCGGCGGCTTGTTAGTCCTGCGAAAAGAGGATGCCTACCTTTAGCGGTGGTGCCCAACAAAACTTTGCGCTCAGATCAGCATAATTTCATTTGCATATCAGCAATTTGTTTTGTTTGCGTTTATTTATATGACGTAAACAAGCCTGCATTTACATTCATAGGAATTCTATTTTATTTTATACAAAGCACGATGTCTGGTTTTGTCAAATCGTGTCACTCTCATATACATACTATATACATATACAAACACACAGACACTCACACACATACCAGCTCCACGTTTGTATGTGTTGAATGAAAATATTTTGCTCCTTCTTGGCTGCTTCTGTACAAGTACATAGCGTCGGCCATTGTGCAATCTATATCATACTATACTCGTATATATATGTACATATGTATATGCAAATCGTGGTGTACTCGGAATTAAAATGCCAGTTTTATCTCAGCAGAGGAGAATTTTAAAGGAAATCCACAAATAAAGACAGATGGCTGGCCACTTGCAAGTGTCTGTGTTACAAATCCGAACAACTTATTTAATAAGTGTCATTTTATTCAGTTAGTCTTTAATAACTGATTGCCATGAACACAACTACTATTTTATTTACTTCCAACATTGTCAATTATTATACTCGTACATACATTAGAATTGTGTGCAAAGTTTAAGCTGATTGAGAAAATAATGCAATGCCCTGCTTCCACCTGCTGAATAGCTGCCACAGAAAAAGTAACATTTGAAATAATATTTTAATTAGTTTGCATGAATAAACTCTTTATACAGATGTTTCAATCCGTTAAATGCCCTTAAGGACTTCAAAACTATTCCTCCAATCGCAATTGCTTTGTCAGCTACGGCCGTAAACCCTTTTAATCGCTTTTTGACCAGTTTGGGGAACAAAGAGTTATGTGAAATGTGATTTACTAAAATATTGTTTTGCAATAGTATCCCTCTAGCATACTAGCAACAAATATTTAAAACTTGCGTTTGTTTTGAATAATAAGAACTCCTTGATAGATACAAGTTTATTTATTTAGTCATCAGCATTTACTTCATTTTTTGTGCAGCTTATTCTTCATTGTGGTAATAAGAGAAGCGGCTTCGATCACTGTTACAAATTAATTTTAGTTTGAATTTGTACTGGTTTTAATTTGAATTTGAAAGTACTTGCCGATTAGTTGTTTATGAAACTCTGTAATATTCGATCATTAGTTTAGAATTAATTATCGAACTATCGCGTCAGTATTCAAGACGAAGGGAAAGGATTGGTATGTAAGCGCGTAAAAATATATAATTTGTAAAACAAAACTACTTTATAGATAATAAAACACCACCACAACCGCTCAAGATTTTCATTATAATTGCCAAGTGAAGTTGGGTTGGTTGTCGTTTTGCTATTCACGGACCCTTCGGAGAGTGCTCAACATTTTTTATTATCAATCGCCGCCATCTTGGGAGACGCCGATCTAGTGCACCTGTCGCCGCGCTGTTTGGAGTTTGTTTTTTGGGCATTGTCTGCCGCCCAGTATTGGACTAATTCAGGAATGTGCATCGCCGCCGCACGATTAAGGAAACCTGAAGAAGTCACGTAAATATCGGAGTCTACCAAATATATCTACGTGCACAGTGAATTGCCTGCCGCACATCGACTCTTATGCCAAGAGTCAGTCATCGAACAACTAAAGGAAAGCCGCCAGTCCGTTTAGGACTTGAAAACAACATGTCTCAAAGGTCAGACAATGAAGATGAGCTCGACGCTACCGTGGTTGCCCCCTGCAAGGTTGAGCAACTACAGCAAAAGGTTCTGGACTTGGAAAAGAAGTTCACAGAGGTGCTCAAGCGTAATGATGAGTTGAGTAAGTCCCTAGAAGAAAAACTGAACCGTAATGATGCCGAAAGTAAAGGTATGTTTCAAAATGTAATGCCCTTAGTAGATCATAACATTTTCCCAGAAAAGCAATTAAAAAGCCAGCAGCATGTAGTTAGAAATAACGAACCATATAATACCATTACAATGCCGCCGCCGCCAAAACAAAATGCTATGCCGCCACCGTCAGATTATACGCCTCTACAAGCAACGAATTTTTTGCCGCATTCGTTGCAACCTGTCCCTCATATCCCGCCGAGGTCTCCGTATACATCTTCGTCATCACAGAATAATAATTATGAACACAACTCACACAGTCAACCTTACTTACGTAAACTACAGGATTTGCCTGAGTTTTCTGGAACACCAGAACAGTGGCCTATGTTTTACGTAGCCTATAAAGAAACATCGAAAGCATACAAATACACTAATTTGGAAAACTTGACGCGCCTTCAAAAAGCTCTTGTAGGTGCTGCCCGGAATATAGTTTCGTCTTTGCTTATACACTCTGAGAATGTCGAAATCGTTATTGCCACTTTGAATCAGTATTATGGTCGCCCTGAAATTTTAATCCGAAGCCAAATTGCCAAAGTTCGTGCCTTTCCGACAGTAAAATATAATAAAATAAATGACTTAATTGAATTTAGTGTATTAGCCGCGAACTTGACAGCATTTTTAGAAAATTGTAATGCTATGCCGCATTTAAGTAATCCAACTCTCATTGACGAGTTGGTTAGTAAACTGCCTATGTCTAAAAGAGAGGAGTGGGCAAAATATACGACAGAAAAAGGATTGATATACCCAACAGTAAGGAATTTCTCAGATTGGCTGCAACAAGTTGCGAAATACTTAACAATTGCATTAGAAGCAACAACCGTCAAAGTTCAAACGAATGAATTGCGAGAGAAAAGACCTGAACCAAAGCAAACATTCACTTTATATGAAAATAACACGAAGTCTCAAAAGTGTCTCCTATGTAACGCCGAGCATCAACTCTATAAATGTAATGTCTTTCGCCAAAAAGAATTGGCCGATAGATGGGAATTTGTCAAAAAGAACCGATTGTGCTTTTGTTGCCTAAGTCTAGGCCACTCACTACAAAATTGTTCACGCCGAAGAGATTGTAATATCGACTCTTGTACTAAACCACATAATCGTTTGCTACATTATAACGCCGCGATGCAAGGTAAAAGGAAAATACATCCTACAACTATATCCGAGGAACCAAAATCAGAAGCCAGTGTTGTTATTACAACGGTCGTCGAAAAAGACTTGCCCGATAAAACGCTTCTTAAGTTTCTGCCTGTAAGTGTTTCGGGTCCAAAAGGTACATGCGAAATTATTGCATTCATTGATGAAGGATCAACTATTTCCCTGATTGAGAATGACGTCGCTAAATTAATAGGAGCTAAAGGAAATAAAAGCCTAATGACGCTAAAGTGGATTGGTGACAAATCCGTAAGCGAAATGTCGGAACAAGTTAATATAGAAATCAGAGGTATAAGCTGTGGGCCTATATCCTACAACTTGAAAAATGTTCGCACAATAAACAATTTGCTTTTGCCAAAACAGAGCCTGAACTTAAATAAATTTTACTCTCATTTCTTATCTTTGAGAAACTTACCAATTGAGAATTACACTGACGCCGCCCCTAAAATGTTAATTGGAATGCCACATACAACGTTGATAAGGCCGGAGAAGGTCATAAATCTTAATAACAATTTTGCCGTACACAAAACAAAACTGGGCTGGACACTTTTTGGTTCTAACGAATCAAAAGGTGGAGAAATCGTATGCCACTTAGTAAACGAAAATGACATTTCTACAGAGCTGCAAGAACTGATGAACGAATACTTGAATATAGAAAGCTTTGGGGTAAAATCGTTTAAGCCCGTTAAATCTAATGCTGATATTAGAGCCGAAGAAATTTTAGAAGTTACAACGAAGAAAATAGAAAATTACTATGAAACCGGATTATTATGGAAAGAAGATAATATTGAAATGCCAAACAACTATGAGATGGCATTGAAGCGCCTAGAAGCTATGGAAAAGAAAATGAATAATGACAATGCGCTTAAGAAGTGGTACACGGAAAAGATATCGGACTACTTGAAAAAAGGATATGTACGCAAGCTTTTACCAGAAGAAGAAAGACAAAGAGGACACAGAACATGGTACCTTCCACATTTTGCCGTCTGCAACGCAAATAAAAACAACAAGCTTCGTCTCGTGTTTGACGCCGCTGCTATGATGAATGGAGTGTCTCTTAATACGAACTTAATGAAAGGACCAGACGCTTACCAACCCGTACCGTTACCAACAATTTTAATGAAATTTCGCGAAGGAAGCATTGGCATATGTGGAGACATCAAGGAGATGTTCCATCAGATCGCCATTCGAAAAAAGGACCAGGGTTCGCAAAGATTTCTGTGGAGAGATAGTAATGTCAGCACACCTAGCACATACGTTATGCAAGTAATGATTTTTGGATCAGCCAGTTCGCCTTGTTCAGCGCAGTATGTTAAAAACACAAATGCCAAAACCTATTTAGATAAAAACAGTAGAGCCGTGCAAGCCATAATAGAACGCCATTATGTTGATGACTATGTTGATAGCTTTAGTAATATACATGAAGCTTATTCCGTTGTAAAAAAGGTTATTGAAATTCACGAAAATGCTAACTTCGAGCTTCGTGGTTTCGTTTCAAACTCAGAACAATTAATGCATTTGTTAAATAACAAAAATATATCACAGCTAGCAAACCTAACAGACCTTAATCAATGTAAGCCAATTACTGAAAAGATTTTGGGCTTACATTGGAATGCAAAAGACGATATATTTTGCTTTGTTCTTAAATTTAACAAAATACCCGAATCAGTCGTTAAAATGAAATCATATCCCACAAAGAGACAGGTACTGTCTATTATTATGTCTATTTTTGACCCATTTGGATTTATCGCACACTATGTTATAAAAGGAAAATTACTTATACAAGAGCTGTGGCGCTCTAAGACGCAGTGGGACCAGGTTATACCCGATCAACTAAAAAATTTATGGAATAATTGGTATACAATGATTAACGTAGTAAACTCAATACGAATACCCAGATGTTATCACTCGAAGTTTTTGGAAAATAATTGCATAATACAACTGCATATTTTTGTTGACGCCAGCGAAGAAGCCTATGCCGCCGTTGCTTACTGGAGGATTGAATATTGTGACGAAGTAACAGTTGCCTTCGTTTTAGGTAAAGCAAACTGTAGCCCTTTAAAGCAGCTATCTATTCCTCGATTAGAACTTCAGGCAGCCGTATTGGGAGTTCGCCTTAAAGATGCTATTGTCAACAGCCACGACATAAAACCAGACGAAGTCTTTTTATGGTCCGATTCAAAAACAGTTATCAATTGGATTCAGTCAGACAGCCGCCGTTATAAACAATTTGTCGCTCATCGCATATCAGAAATATTGGACAGCACTGAAGCACGCCAATGGAAATGGATACCTGGATCGCAAAACCCTGCTGATGTTGCCACTCGTATGGACTCGAATGTAAAATCAAAGAAATGGCTAGAAGGACCTTTATTCCTAAGAAACGACAGCGAAAGATGGCCTGTTTTAAACGAGAACATAAAGCAGTACGATCAACAAAATGAACAACGAATAAAATTCTTGTTTTCGACCGTAGAAGAGAATGGTCCAATATTTAGTTTAATTGAAAAAACATCTAAATACGAAAAGCTAATAAGAGTGTACGCCTATGTTCTTAGAGTCGTGGACACGTTCAAAAACAGAATTGGAAAAACTTCAGCATGTCTTCAGACATCGTTGATATTATCAGCAAGAGAATTACACCTTTCTGAAAAGCTTTTATGCCGCCTGGTTCAGCGTCATTGTTTCAGAGCCGAAGTAGCCGCACTTCAGAACGGACAATCCGTACCAAAAGCCAGTAAAATAGTTTGCCTAACCCCAGTAATGGACGAAGATGGAGTTATGCGTGTATCCGGTCGAATTAACAATGCCAACTGCGTGGATGACAATGTAAAAAGACCTTTGATATTGCCAAAGAATCATAAGTTGACATATTTAATTGCACAGCACTTTCACGAACAATGTAAGCATCAGAATATGGAAACTATAATATCAAATATAAGAACAAAATTTTGGATACCATCTGTTAGAGCCTTGGTCAATAAAGTAAAGTCAAGTTGCCAAGTTTGCAAAAATACGTACATATGTCCGAAGCCACCATTGATGGGTCAGCTGCCCATAGATCGACTTTCACCATATGTAAGAGCCTTTACGTATACTGGATTAGATTATTTTGGTCCTTTGTTGGTTGCTATTGGAAGACGTCAAGAGAAACGCTGGGTTGCTTTGTTCACCTGTATGACCACTAGAGCAATACATTTGGAACTCGCTAAGGATCTCTCATCGGACTCTGCTATTATTTGTTTGCAAAATTTTTGTTGCCGCAGAGGCTTACCGCAGAAAATTAGAAGCGACCAGGGAACAAACTTTATTGGTGCAAGCAAAATACACTGGATTGAAGCCGTGAATGGGATGTCATCAGAGTGTGGCCGGCGCGGCATTGAATGGGAGTTTAATTCACCTGGTAATCCTGCTGCTGGCGGTGCTTGGGAGCGCATGGTGCGCAGTGTTAAAAGGGTACTAGCATTTACATTGAAACAAAAGGTACCGCAAGTTGAGACTTTGCAGAGCTTATTAATAGAAGCTGAAAACTTGATTAATTCTCGGCCATTAACACATATTCCTATTGAAGATTCCGAAGCAGAACCTCTCACTCCTAATCATTTTTTAATTGGTTGCCCTAACCTAATTCAAACGCCGCATATTGACGAGCGGCAATGCTTGAGAAAACAATGGCAAATACGACAACAGCTGAAACAGACATTTTGGAAGCGATGGATTTTAGAATACCTGCCAACATTGACTCGCCGAACCAAGTGGTTTCAACGCGTGGAACCAATTAAAGTTGGAGACATCGTAATCATCTGCGATGAGTCTGAAAGCCGAAGCCAGTGGAAGCGAGGTAGAGTAACTGCAGTGCAACTAGCTCGAGATGGACAAGTACGCAGCGCTTCAGTGAAGACGGGAACTACAACGCTTCAAAGACCAGCATCTAAGCTGGCAGTCCTCGACGTTTTTGGTGAATCTCCGGCTCCGCCTTTGTCGATTCACGGGGGCCGGAATGTTACAAATTAATTTTAGTTTGAATTTGTACTGGTTTTAATTTGAATTTGAAAGTACTTGCCGATTAGTTGTTTATGAAACTCTGTAATATTCGATCATTAGTTTAGAATTAATTATCGAACTATCGCGTCAGTATTCAAGACGAAGGGAAAGGATTGGTATGTAAGCGCGTAAAAATATATAATTTGTAAAACAAAACTACTTTATAGATAATAAAACACCACCACAACCGCTCAAGATTTTCATTATAATTGCCAAGTGAAGTTGGGTTGGTTGTCGTTTTGCTATTCACGGACCCTTCGGAGAGTGCTCAACAATCACAGATGCTAGAACCATTACAGGTCATATTAATAAAAAAAAATATATTGCAAGGCTGGGGCTTTTTGTGAATGCATTTCCAAAAAATAGAAATCTTAATATAAAAGAAAAACCTTAATGTGTGATTCAAAATTCTAGCATTAATCGTCAAGTAGAAGTAAACTTAATTCTTTTACACGGTTTTGATTTAACACAGTTTGAAAATTAAAAATTTTAAGACATTATTCCAGTTAACACGATTTAAAATAACATTAAATAAATAAATAAGAATACACAGAGTTAACAAACAGCTAGAAACCTTTCTTATATGGGTTATGCAGATAATATATGTGATTTAAAAAATAATAAATAAGCATAAATCCTTGTTTTTTCACTGATTTTAATAGGCTTTAGAGATAAGGAAGTGATCAGTCTATTTTTACGCTGCTTTTCGGGAACCAATCTACCGTGCAAAAACAGAGTTAGGTGTACAAACATATTCTTATAAATATGTGATTTTAAGCTAAGTAGTTGCCTTTAGGCTTGAATTGTGTGGAAAAAACCAAAAAAAACTCCTTTTAGAATCTATTTTAAAATATTGTAATTATTTTATGATAAAATTTGTTCATGAAAATCAAACTGGTAATCAATTAAGAAAAGAAATAGAACGAATTATGTGTGGGCTAAGTTTTAAAGGATTTTTAGCTCTGATTTCTTGTCCATATCTCGGCCTTTAGTTTAAATTTTGTATTTGTTTTGCGTTTTAAGATTTGTTCTGTACTCCTTACCCCCCACAGATACATCGGTTATCTGATAAGCCCGTGTCGTGGGTGCGCCTGCGCGATGGTCACATTATTAGCGTCGATGAGACGACCTTCATTGCCGACGAGCGGTTTCAATCGATATTCCAGGAGGACAACGACTACAGCTGGTCGCTGCAAATCAAATACGCGAAGTCTGCCGATGCCGGCTGGTACGAGTGCCAAATGGCCACGGAGCCCAAGCTGAGTGCCAAAGTCCATCTGGACATAGTCAGTAAGTAATGGGAAGAGTAGTGAAGACAAATGAATGGCAATCCTTGTTGACTTTAAACTCCGCCCGCAGCGCCCAAGACTGAGCTAATTGGCGACCAGAGTCGCTTCGTCAAGGCCGGCAGCAAGGTGGCTCTGCACTGCATCGTGCGCGGAACCCTGGATCCGCCCAAGTACATCATCTGGTTCCGTGGCCAGAAGAAGGTGAGCGAGAGCGACGAGCAGACGGGCTGGTATACCCAAATCGACCGGAACATATTCGGCAATGTGGGCGATAATCAAAACACGGTGAGTGAGTTCAGTCCAACGAGATGTCCGCCGGCCATTGCGCCTTTCTGTTAACTTAACGCTTTAACAATCATTAATTGCAGATCGGTTCATTAATTATACCATTCGTGCGCAAAGAGGACTCGGGCAATTATACGTGCCAGCCTTCGAACAGCGTCTCTGTATCCGTTGACCTGCACGTGCTCAGTGGTAAGTATGTGTGTGTGAGTGTGGAGGGATGGGTAGCGTGTGTGAATTACTCTGTCAGAAGATTTAATGACTCATATTAATCGCAACTGTCGCCACGACCGTCAAACCGCCAACAGGTGAATACTCGGCATCGGCCATCATGTCCGGCGCCGGCTCCCCAACCCAACAGCTCAGCACGTTCCTGTTCCTGTCCCTGCTCCTGCCACTCCTCGTGCTCGGGATGCCCCTCACGGTGGTGCTGGAACCCAAGACGTGACTTGTGACGTGACTCGCTTATTGAATGGCCATCGCCTGGTGGACTTCAATTATTTTTAAGCTCTGCGCTCCGCGCGCATTTATGTAATTTAGGTTAAAGATTAATTAGTGCCAGCATTGTAAATATCAAACAGCTTGGGCGTTTAGGAGTTGAGGCAGAAGACGCGGCAGAAGCGGCAGAAGCGGCAGAGGAGAGAACATGTAACACGATGTTAAAACTTCTACAATTAAGTTAATTCTTATAATATGTATGTGTGTACTTTGTAAGTCTTAATTGCAAAACTGGCGGCGAAGAAAAAGGAATTCTAAGCAGTCGGAAAAAAGGGTTCATTTCTGAATGCAAACCTAAATAAATAGACGATGAAGGGTAATTGAAATCAGAGAAATTCCCATTAAAAGTTGTGAAATAAATCAATAATTAGATTATTGTAAACAAACTGACATTTAAATCAAATTCAATAAAATAAATAAAAGCAAAAAAAAGTGCGGAAATAATGGAGAACCTCTCCTAAGTTGCTTTTTATTGGGTAAAATAAATTCTGCGGAAATAATTTAAAAATCATAATTATGAGCTCTAATATTCGCGAAGGCATAGTTATCCTTAAAGACTTGCGCCGTTTTTCGACACAATTTTTTAAAATAAAGCTGCATAGAAAATAAATCAAACACTATTGTTTTAAGCCAAGATGTGGCTCTGAAGCAGATGAATTGCTAAATAAATGTTAAGAAAACTATGAAAATGGGTCTCCTCTTTGAGAAACAGGTGATGACGATCCTAATGGTTATGAGAAAAAACACTTTTGATTTAAAATATTTCTGAAGTAATTCCAGCGAGACTGGAACAAGAGATAAAGAAAATGCAAGCAAATCGTCAGCTTTAAGTTTTTGGTTTATTGCGCAACTCGACAGCAGCTATTGACTGCAGATGGAAATGATTGATTGCGCAATCAATCGTATACAAAAAGATGGGAAATGCACTCGATTATATTAGAACTTACATAAATATAAACACACATAACATTCACTATAACTTGACAAGTTTTGGAGTCACTCTTCTGTAAGCGGAAATAAGTGGCCAAGAAAAAAGTAACGCATTACATACATACACACTTTTATTGTCTCAAGGGATATGCATGAATAATTTCTATATTTTGCAGTCATAATTCCCGACCTTGCGCAACACAAGCCACACTCTCTGCTAGTGTGCCAAACAAAGTGGCTACACTTTTGGCCAAAAAGCAGCTCCAGCGCATAAAAATGTCGTAACCATAAAAAGGCGAAATTCGAGCGGCAGCAGCAAACAGAGCCATAAAGCCTTTAAGGTAGTCTATTTTATTACAGCAGAAATCACATCTCAGTCAGCCAAAAAAAAAATAAACAACAACACGTAAATTTGTCGTGGCCGTCAGAGTCGAGGAGCGGATCGGGGAGCGAGGCAAGAAGACAGTTTAGGGAAAGGAAAGGAAAAGCGCTGGCGCTGGCGCTGACTCGGCTCTGGCTCTGGCTCTGAGGCAAAACGGTGAAGGAAAACAAAGACAGTAAATATTCTTCACTATGTTGTTGACGCTGATGACTGACTGACGACAGCAAAGATTGTGAAGTGGAGATGGGAGGGGAGGGGGGAAAACTAAAACTGCTGAAAACCCGCCAAGGAAACAGATATGCGAAGCCGAAGAAAATGAAACCAGCTAAAGAGTTCTTTTTGTTTTTTGGTGGGCCAACTAGGGAAAAAGTTGTTGATAAGCAAATTGGTTAAAGAATAGAAAAAACAGAGATTTAAGTTGCGGCTGTTAACCAGATCCGAGGAGAATAAACCGCACAAAGTCCTGGTAATTTCACTGAAGTTAAATTTGCAGTTGACTTTTATGCGAAAATTGCAAAAGCAGGCAAACTTTCTCGCCACCTCGCCTGCCTCATGCCACCTCATCACAATTTTAATATCACGAGCTTAAGACCGCGAATTGCGGCCTGGAAGTCTTTTTTACCTGAACAGTAACAAAAAATGTATATATATAAATGAATAGATGAACAAAGATGCCAAAAGCTATGGGTAAGAGAGTGTTGAATTGTGTTACTAAAGCGGCTCCTTTTTTGTGCAATTTTTAGAAATTAATGCAACATTACAGACATTTATTTATTTGTATTCAAAGTTGTTTTTAAATTTGATTTTTCAAACTCTAATTATTGGTTTACTTCAAGCCTTCGACGGCCAGTATAAGTTGTTAAATGAAAAGAAAAAATAGAAAAACAAACATTTAATTATGTTATTTGAAAACACTAAATCATGTCTTCTGTCCAACTATAGACATCCAGGAAAGCCAGGTGCATATCCTCAAATGACGATCCTTTATTTGTTGCCATGGTTGACAATACTTGGAGTCCGATCTATGGAAGATCCCCCTCCCCCGCCACACTTTTATTATAACTATAATTAATAATATATAATGACTATTCTGGATTAAGGGCACAGCAATGCGTAACATCCTCTCCGCGCAAGATCAATGATCAAGGTGTTCACTGGACATGAGAGTTTTCTCTATATTAGATTATTAAAAGCCGCATTAAGAACTAACTAACTAACTAATTGAGCCACTCGAGTGTAGGGTTCAGGGAAAAAAAAGAAAGTTGGTTAACGCCATTAAAAAGGCAAGTTGATCCTTTCCTTTCCTACAAATAAATCATACTAATTTATTATCTTTAGTTCCTAGTTCCTAGCCCCCCTGCATGCTATAGAATTTCGTCAATAATGTCCACAAGTGGGCATTGAACGGCTTCATGGGATTTACATGTCCGAGACGAAGTATTTAAAAGTATATGTGAAGTAAGTGGATTAGATTAAAGATTAGTCAAAATATCTATATTGATAGATATGTATATTAACCAAAAAGGATAGAGAAACTGGAAGACAAATATATCTGATCAAGACTAAGTATTGAGAATGTTTTTTTTTTTAAATATTGGAAAATATCAGAATGTATAATAATAATAAAGGATAGAGAAACTGGAACACAATTAGGTCTGATGACAATAATAAATAATATTAACAATAACATCAAGCAAGTTTAAATTAAGTATTTTTTAATTTATTCAATTGATTGAAAACAATAATAGAGCTAGCAGCTAGCAGCAATGACAAGCGAAATGGTAAAATTTGAAGTTAAAGAAGAAGGTACCATTCAGTCGTTTTAAAATCATTCAATTTACTTTGAATAAAGCGTAGTTAAGTCGGGCTGTGAAACACTATAGTGCTGAGACCATCCACACTTGGTTTTAGAAAACTAAATCATTTCCTTGCCCCATCGCAGTATTATGGGTTATGAAAACCTCTGGCCTGGAATTGACAGCACTTCATTGCAGCTGAATCGGACTCTGATTTGATAAGTTTTCAGCAAGTGTTGAAAATAATTTGTAAGCCACTTGATGTCCGTACTACTCAACAATTTAATTTTAAAGTTTCCACTCCCGCAAGCTTGAAATTCTATACTCATTTTTTTCCATTCTCCATGTTACAGTCCCTTCTTTTGTATATGCAGCAGCAATTTTCATATTTCGCATGAATGCGGACTATGTAGCCTTAAAGGAGCAACATTTTCTTTTCTCTATGCCAAACAGGGGTGGGGTGGGGGGGGGGGGGGGGGGGGGGAATGTGAAAATAATGAGTCGAAAACACAAGTACATAGGAAACAGAGACGAGTGCATTGAATGACATATTTTCTCGTTTTTTTCTTTTTGTTGCTTTTTTGTTTCCCTCACTCAACCATTTAATTGTGTTAGCACCAAGACATGCTTTTGGCTTCCACCACTGACCCTTCTACAAGCTCCACTTCCCCTCCCCCCGCCGATGTGTTTGCTTTTGATGTCTGAGGCGTCGCTTTCCATGCACTCTCTGCTATTTTTTCCTCTGGCGCCTTTTTACATATTTCTGCTTCCGAGTTGGCCTTTTCCGAGTTGGCCTTCTGCTCACTTCTGCAGCGGATGGACCGATTCGGGGAAAGCGTTTCTGCAAGTTGAGTAAAGTATTTTCGGTTTAACTTTTCCGTCGCCTCACACTGTCGTCGAGTGTTAAGTGGTTCGGCATGGCCTGGCCGGGCCTGGCCTGTTGTGTTTGTGGGTGTCGCAAGAAAGGTGTGGGGGACTGCAGGGGTGGCGCGGAGAGGGGGAGGGGAGCATAGTTGTGAGTGCGGTTTCCTATTTCGGTCAACTGTAAATAAGCGAGCACAGCGCCCAAGCCAACAAAAACAGCAACAGGAGCCAGCAAAACTCCTAAATGTCCAATGTAAATAAATAAGCGCTTTCGGTCCACTCTTGGCTGAAATTGTTGAATGTTGACTTAAATTCCGCAAAAACTTTGTGTAATTGAATTACAAAACCAAAGAAAACAAATTACTTCCAATCAGTGTAAATAAATGTCAAAAGCAAATAAATTGCTGCTGCTTTTTGCCGGCGCCTCCAGGCTGGCCAAACTAATTTTTGAAAGGTCAAGGGGCGACACGTGCTAAGAAGCCAAATGCCAGTTAAGTACTTGTATGGATTGAATTGTGCAAGCATATGGGATGATGGAATTGGCCTTGACATTAACTTTTATAATCGGCATAATTCTAAAAGAAAGTTCAAACGCGAATATGAAAAGAAAGACAGACAGGAGCCAAATGCCAAGTCTATTGTCCTTTTGAGCTGCCTGCTGATTGCAGACTTCGATATCAGGTTTGCAGCGAGAAAAGAAATAGAAGAAGAACAACTCGATTGACTGGCTGTATTGGAGCTTGATTTTGGTTTCGGTCGCCTATCGAAAACGCATCTAAAACATTTGAGGAAGATAAATTGCGTGCCGAAAGCGTCGGGCGTCCCAGTCATTTGGCATTACGGCCGTCAACAACAAAGGCAGCTGGAATGCCGAATGCCAAGTGCGGCTTGATTGCTGCTTCTGCTGCCAAAGCAGTTGTTGTTGTTGTTGTTGTTGTTCGTCGTTGGTCCCCAGACAGTCAGTTGGCAAAATGGCTAACACGGTGTGTGTGGCTGTCTGCTGTGTGTGTGTGTAATGCGCGTAAATGCAAATCATTATCAACAACATTTGCATCAGCAATAGGGTGGGGGCCCGACAATGCCAACCGCAATCGATGGAACAACGAGCCATGTTGATGGTCCCGGCCAAATGGGCTATCAACGCTATCTGCGGTTCTACTGCGGCTTACAGCTGCGTGCGAATGCTTGATTGCAGCTAACCGTGTAGCAGGGACTCCTATTAGCGTTGATGAATTTGCATTTCACATAACTTGGCGATATGTATTTGCCAGACGCCTGCAAGTATGCAACACAAAATGCAAAGCGCTCGCAACTCACTCCTAATCGACTACTT